TTGTTTGTTTGATTGCATGTTTGTAGACTAGATATCTAAAACTATTGTGAATGGTTGTCATTGATTTCACATAAACGTACTTGACCTTGGGAGGACAAGCAGCAGAGACAGATAACATATGGTCGTAACTACGGCGATTCAAACGGTCGAACGGAGCTGAAATTAATAAGAATAGCCCTTCGCCGCCACGCCGCTCTGAAATTTGTAATTTTTGTTCCTGGTCGATTGAGTTTTACTCATCAAATATCCCGTCCGTGAAGAAGCGAAGCAGGAGGTTAAAAGTGTTTATTTTCCGTACGAGAGAAGATCAGCGGGAAGTCTGGAAGGTTCCGGACACACGACGTGAACACAATTGTCCGGACTGCACGTCCGAAACGGCTTCCACACACCGGAAAATGTCCACTAGTCTCTACCAGACTCCTTGGAGTGAAAGATAGTAACAAAATGGCCAAAATATGACAATCTATCTCCCCTGGCATATTGTTGACCCCTTTTGGCAAATTCTATTGTTTTCCCAGTAAACGTGGAAGTCTGCTGGAGACCGGAGAGCCATACTAGTAACTAGACTAGACTACAATTTTCTCTCAGGGGTTGTGTAGTCTCTACCTGAGCCCCTGAGTTACTAGAAAACCAGTGAACATAAGTCAAATAGTCGGCATAATTTGCTAGAGCTAACCGGCCTCAGAGTTACAATAGACAACCCAGAGCCAACTAAGTCCTGGAAAGAAGTCCTGGAAAGAGCTAATACGTAGAGAAAAAGGCTGGATGCCAGGCTACAATCTTCCCCTCAGGTGGCTGGCACCAACTCGCAACACTTCGTTCCAAACAACTCCCATCACGTGGACTCACCACCTTTCACATTCACGTTGACAGTAAGATTTACGGGCGGCCCAAGTCTCCGGCTCAGTCCCGCAGTCTTCTTCCCCATTCATCCTCATTACTACATGCCCAGACATAAGCACCAGCATCATAAAGTAACCCGTCTTTCAGACCGACGGGCGGCGGCAACCATCAATGATTCATGGGCAGTGTTCAGCTTTCATCGGCTGGTCTAACCGCCTCCAACCGTCAGCGGTTTGGGTTCTTTCCAACCCCAGGTATCTCAGAGCTGCATGACGAAGTGGAATAATTTTGCGGGTCTAACTTTTGTTTACTTTTGGACTTAAAAAATACACGCATATTTGCACATCAATCTATAGTTCGTGCTTATAAACTTGCAATTCTCCTGCAGTCTCCTAGTGTCACTGACGAAAGGCAGAGCCAGTGGATGCTACCTGAAACGTCTGACCGTTTCCAAAATCATATCCAGTTGCTTGAGTAACTGTATTTGGCGAATTTTGCGGGTGTTTTGGTGATTTCTTTCTATACCCTTTAAAACAAGACAGGAATAATAATTTTCATTTTTTCTTTCTTTTATGTTTTTTTTCAATTTAGCATATCGTCATGTTCTTTGCATTCTGGCATCTCGTTTGATAGTCTATCTGCATCCTAGACTTTGACTTCCAGTAAAATCGTCAACTTGTCAACTTTTGTTTTCCCCCAGCCGCAGGCATTTGCATTCATGAGTAGGCAAGTAGGCAACCTCGACCTTTATCTTTGCCGGGAACGAATGGGGCCTTAGGTCCAACTCATGACCATGCTTACGGGATTCAGGGATATAGAGCTACTTCCCTTCCTAAGGCATGTTTCAGGGACATATATATCTTCATGCAAAGAGAAGAGGGCTAAGAAGGAATAATTAAAGGAATTTGTAAAAAAAAAGCATTTTCTTGCAAACATATAGAAGAAAAAAGAATACAAACCAGGCATTTCTATTCAGCGCAAGATGCGTAACAAATATGTATTAAGAAGACTTAACAGAAGAATGAAGAACTAAGAATGAATAGACGTTTAAACGAAACATGATTGTAAAGTATATATATGCACAGTAATCCTATGACAAGTAACTAGTTGCAGCCCGGTCTTAGGTACTCGTTATGTCTATAATGTCACACCAAATGTCACTCATGAAGACTTTATGAGCGTTTCTAGTTCGCTGCCTCCTCTGCCTACATCTACTTTAATCTTTGATGAGAGGAAACACGTGCGGGAAATCTGTATTCACGCTGGGGGGTACTGTCACTCTAGGCGCGGTCATATTTGTGGTAGGATTTTAGGATTTTCAACGATGTTTGGATAGACCTGGTCCTTAGGGTGCCGTCACCTCCATCGAAGGCGCTGTAGTGAGATTTTTGTGGTATGATGTTCAAGCAGTGACAGTACTAAACACCAACAAGGACCAGACAAGGCAGGCAAGACAGCTGAATTTTGTACGACACATTCACAACTATCCCAAGAATGCCACCTTGATCGTGCGATGATCCTACGATGGTTGTGACCGGGTACTTAAACGAAGCATTCGCCGGCGTTGCTCTTGTAAATAGCACCTTTATAACTTGTAATGACAAAGTTAATGACAAACTTACTAAATGTCACGATGACATGTACAAGCCTGACAGAACAACACTATTTTCCATTCTGAAAGAAACATACGATTTACATCCACGCTTTTGGTAGGTATCAAACAATTTTTTCACCATTTAGAATTCGTGGAGAAACTTTCTACAACTTTCGTCCAGCAGCAAACTTTGCGTTATGAAAAGCAACTTGTCATATAAATCTTTCCCGTATGACATTTTATAGCATTTCTTCGAGGCACCTTACTTTTTGGCAAGCCAAAAATAAATTTTACTTCGTGCGCTCTATGCGTGGTATTACAAAACTCAGATATATAGGACTGAGTAACGCACTGAGTTAAACTTATACTCCTCTTCCGCTACACTTTTCCCTCGGGAGGGGCTGTCGTCTTCCGTAACTGTTTGCACAACTACAAATTTTACACTCAGCTGCGTTCCTTATGAAAGAAGATTTCACGGGTTGAAGCGAAGGTGTAAATATGAAGCCGAGACAGCGCCACGCCATTTCAGAATAACGTTCTCTCCGCAGTCGCACGTGAAGCGAACTCATGCGCTTGAAGGAATACAGATACAGGCGCTTCGGATGAACGCACGGCCACAGTTCGCCGATTTCTCCGCGTATTCCCATGAGCTAGTGTGCTGCAAATGTCACAAATTTGGAGAGGGGACTAGTTATTGTATTAACAGGAGTTTGGTTATTGCGGAAGCCCGGTTCGCAATTGTTTCGAATAGCGTTAGGTGGGTGAAGATTACGAGGTTTAGGCTATGCATAAAAGGTTTAATTGTACAACGAGCTAAATAAAAAAGGTAAAGACGTTTTACTAACTGATGGAAAACAATGTTCAAAAAGTGCTTGACTCCCTAGAACGTTAACATTTGGAGCTGGTGTGTTACGCCGTAGGGTATACAGATACCGGCTATACAGATACAAATTTCCCAGCTCTATATCGACGGATAGGAAAGTGTATAGATATCAAAGAAGTGTCAAACTGACATAGGACATGAACACAAACTTTGCTACTTTGATAATAGTAAAACTTGATTGCTCATGGTCTGAATATGAAAACGAAGACCGATGATGAAGCTTATCGCTATGTTTATTTATGAAAGAGAACTACGGTTTCATGTACATGTATGAAAAAAGAATCACGGCTTTCTTTGTGTATCTACTGCCCGAAGTACATATATCTGGCGCGCTCTTTGCGCACAATTTCTTTTCGACCGCACGTGGGCAATTATGTTGTGGAAAAAAAACATAAATGCAGAGATGTTCGGCTAAATACATCACTCTTATCAGGCTCCAGACCCCTACGGTTTAGTCTTAACTATGATAAGGCATTCTTGTAGTCATTTATAAGCCTACGAAGAGATCCTCTAGCCCCAGAAGGAAAATAAAAGTCACGAGTACAAATTCCTTCATTACTCTACATCGAAGACACAAGGAGGTTGCCCTTAGCGCACGTTGATATACAGTACTAGATACTAGATATTCTGTGTATACAGCTCGCTTCTTCTCATATTACTGCTGACATTTAAGACAGGAGAGTTGTCGCTCACCAAGGAAAGGTGCAGCAGCACGAAATTAATAACAAAGCAACGGAGGAAGCCTCGACGAGTTCTCATAATAACTACTCGGCCGGCAAATTCATCTAGTGAATTTCGGCTGTCTAGTGAAATTAGAATCCGAGCGTGTACGAACTAGGAAAGGTGTGGTAGACTTTTCTTTTCTAACTCAGTTTTCAAGCGGCTGTTCCCTGGTATCTTTTCAGCTGGTATCTTGGTAAGAATCGCTTGCTAACATGACCAGGAATACGGTCGCCATTCCATCTATGCCTGTACCATCTTGTACTTGTCTTTTATGAAGAAAAATCACTCGTTTGGAAAATAGCGTATCAGATGTTCTATTAATGCTCGGCCCTCCGTTTCGGGGAATATATGAAAATTTAACGCGGTCTAATAGAACGTTTCGCGGGCGACAGTTTTGGTACGGCTGCGCTAGGATTGCCTTCGCTCCCTGTCAATCAAAAATGTTTCCCATCTACACTTTAAAAGCCAAGTGGTTCCTCTTGGAAGACTGTTAGATTGTGAGGTTGGCAGAGGGCAGAATACAACATGTCAAAAAGTTGTTAACACGTATGAAGGTCCATTTCCTTGCGTACCCTCGCCACCGTAAACGAGCATACAGATCGATGTATATATTATTGATAAAAAAGAGCGGGTCCGGGACATGTTTTCGCGGATTGCGGATCGAGTACAAACATGGTTATCGTACCTCTTACCTAGTTTTCCCCATAAATATCTGATGAGAAAGAAAATACACTACGCGTAATCTGGATGAGGTACAACATTCCGCTTGACAATGGGTTAACCTGTGTGTAGAGGGCGGTGTCCCAGCGGGCGTGGTACATCGGTTTGCTGTCGTCCGTGGTGGCGGGTGCCCGGTAGTTTTTCATGGCCCGCCGCTGCGCGAGTCTCGTACGCGATACAGGTAAAACCTTCAAATCAACGTAAAAAATGCTAAGACAACATCAGGAGTGAACCTACCTCTTATACTTCAGAACCGGTCGCAGTTTCCCGGGTGGATCCACCTGCCTCCATGCTGACCGCTACTCCCCACTGCGGATCGACACCGCGCTCCAAACTCCCAACCCGGCACCAAGTCCCGTCAGGACGGAACTGAGACAACAACGCACATCGTCTGAGCCCAGCCGTGCTCTCGCCGATTGACCGCCGTGCACCCTCGCCGCTGTCTCGCTACGTGGTGCTCAACGCGGGGCTAGCTCCGTCGCTACCGCTCGGGACTGATGCCGGGGAAATTTATGGGCGAGTGCATTGAGTCAGTTAGTTATAACAGTGATTGCTTTCCATAATTTTCTCTCAGGGCACAGCCCGCCCCATCAATCAATCAATCCGCCTGGCAATATCACCCCTCCCCCTCCATGCGTTACGCGAAATGCCAATAACTCCGCCACTCGCTACCCTTTCACCAACGACGCTGACATTTCGCGCTATTAAGAACAGGCCGGAAAGACGGGATCACAAGAGAAGAAAGAACCAGGAGATAAAGGGTCAGCCATAATTGGGTCAGAGATGGCCTTTCTCCCGTCTTTCTTTTGCGACCGGGACCAATGAATGGTGATAACGTAATTTGCCAAGCTACTAAGATATGCGGAGTTAAATGCAGCGGTAGGGCGCTTGACTTCTCGTAGTTCGCGCGGCGTCATTACGAGTAGATACAGACTAATGTACCACGTCGTTTATCTACAGTTTGGTGACAGCGACAGGCGGGTGTCATGAAAACTCGCTCCATGGGGTCTAAAGACGGGAATTTGTAAACGTAAGCACTCTTCTGACAGGGTAGATTCAAAGGAAGCAAGGAAACGACAGCGCTAAGCTCAGACATATATGTACAACACTGATAGCAACAAAGTCTTAAAGAAGTTTTCCTTACACCAATTTAAGATTCACACGAAGCTCACGTATGGTATGCGAAAATTATTTGACAGATATTATAGCAATAATGCGTTATTGAAGTTATCCAACGCTTCATTCTAAACTAATGGGGATGACATTCTCTCCGTATGCTCTTAAGCTTAGTCTTGACACCTTTTGCCCCCTGTCCATTGCCCCGATGGAAAGTTTAGATTATTATGGTTACACGTTTTCCCCATCTGTAACCATCTGATAAGACAGGTTACGTCAGACACATATCGACGCTACCATAAAAACTTAGTACTCCTCTCATACTTGCCCAAAAGGGGGTCACGTGTCAAACCACAGAAAAATGAAAACCACAAAGAATATTACTGCTCATGACCATCAAAACTAACGTCCCGGATGTAATTTCTACCGACATGCAATGCGGGACTGTAAGGGCAGCCAATCAGCCGAGCCTGTGATCTTTTTGTAAAACCTAGTCTGAAAATTAAAGAGATTAAAGGAGGAAATAGTAAAAACTGACCAAATACACAGAGAATATGACAAAAAGGCTAAACGTTATAATCATCCAACATTAAGTAAATTGGGACTTACCCAAATTTTCGGCTAACTCCGTCTTGCTCACGGAATCAACCCGTCTACTGCAGCTTCCGGGACGTGACGTCAGAAACACGTGATTGCAGCAGAGGGTCACACGTGTCAGATAACCTGTGTCGTCCCCCGTCTCTGTATACAGAGAATACTTCGCCAGTTTGGGGAGGAGTTGACCGACTTAACTGCTTCATTTTTGCCCGAATTTGACTACTTTTTTTCCAGCCCACAGAAGGGTTTGTTGTAGACTTTCAGGATCTAAAACCAAGGAATCAGTTCATCAACTGGTGCTAATAAATCGACATTTAACCATCGACCATGTGTTGTCGGTCAGTTAGTTCAACACACTGTGAGTAGATAGAAATAGATGAGCCCCTATCGCATGTATCAGTGCACCGTAAGGCAGCCATGGATCGATCGCTGGGTCCATGAGCCAGATCTGTACAACACAATTCTTTTGTACATGCTTTATTTGTATTGATGGAATCCACTTTGTGGTGGGGCGTGCGCTGTAACAGTAGAGCTGGATTTTCTTCCCATCCATCCGTCTGAAATAATGAACAGGTTTTGTGTTCTCGTGAAGAGGGCTTTGCCTCTAGTCCCATACATCAAAACAAGGAACTTCCGTTTCAAATGACAATATTCTTGTCCCACTTGTCCCACTTCTGTGTAATGCGTGTAGGTGTCTGAGCCTTTTGTAATGTTCTGTATATTCCTAATATTTTTTTTCTTTCTTGCCGTCTAGATCTTGCCAAATACATTGTTGACGTCCGTTTTAGATCCCATTTCAAATACTGACAAAATTGCTGACTTGATAGACTGGCCCACTGCTTTAAAAGCTTTTCCTGTACAAGCTTTGTACAACTCCGGTCTAACCTAGTTATAGTAAGCCGTTACATGTACAGCATACAAAAATCGGTACCACAGAAAGTTGGCCTGGAACCAGAATATCCACCAGCACCTTTGGCAAGTCTATGGATTTGTTCATTGTTAATTTGTGGTAGAACATAGGTGTCTTTTGATATGTCAGATAGTACTGGAGTCACGGGAGCTTGTTCTTTCTACCATCGCTAAGATGTCCGATGTGTTTTCATTAGCGCTTGGCTTAGCGTGCGTGGTTGAGCATGATAAGTTGGGAAGCTATATGGACTGTCATGATATTAGGTATGTGCCTGGGGTTTGAAGTACCGGTATACCGGTACCATAGAATTAACTATAGCTTTTGGGCTTCCTAGCGGGTTTTTTTGGTACTGCTGCGGAAATTCCTATTTTAGTATATACAGCACATAGACGATTCTAAGAGAAGTCATCTGTATCTGTATCAGTATAGCCGGTATAACCGCCCATCGGCGTAACACACCAGCTTCACAGGCATGCGGTGCGGCGGCAGCTAGCTATATCACACCGAACGACTTGCGTGATAACAGCAATCAAGAACTTGGCAATGACAGATTGTCGCTATGACAGGTCATCATCGCCTAATGTCGCAGAATTTTCAAATAGCTAGGTCTTATCAGAACCAATCGACGACAATGATCCCGTAAGACAGCTGAGTATTGTATGCCTATTCCAAGAAAACCCTCCGTTTGCGATCGCCCGACGTCTGTGAACAGTGTCTTGCACTACTCTAGTTACCGGCAGAACGTACTACGCCTGCGTTATACCCGGATTTTTGTCGGTTTTTGTTGGGCGTTTCATCCACGGTTTTGGATGTCGAACGTTGCAACAAAATTTTGCCACGATATCTTTTCCCTCATGACATTTGAAAATCATGCACGGTACGCGAATACGACCTTAAACGAGACGTTCTTTCGGAATGCTATGTGCCATATATTGCGGGTTTCGCGCAGGCGCAGTACATTCTGCTGACGTGTTCTGCCAAAACCAGCACGTCGGCAGAACGTACTGCACCTGCGCGAAACCCCTAATGTATTGTACATAGCACTTCGGCAGGACGTCTCATATAAGGTCGTATTCGCGTATATAAGGTTAACATTCCGGCTGTAGTTTCCAAATTTTATGTCGGAAAAGATATTGTCTGCAATAGGCAAAATTCTGATGCAACGTTGACCAAACATCCACAGAAAACCGTGAAAAATCAGGGTTTTGCGCAGGCGCAGTCCGTTCTGCCGACGTGCTCTTTGCACCATACATTACGGGTTTCGTGCAGGCGCAGTACATGTACATTCTGCTGGCGTGTTCTGCCAAAACCATGGGTTTCTCCAGACCACCGTCACCAAACCGCCCCGTGACAGATGGACCGGCGGGAGATGATTATCCCATCACGGCTCCCAACCTGCTGAGGGAGACCTTGGCTGAGCTTCGTTTGTACTCGATCACGATTTGACCGAAACCCCCGGCGTGCTTTTGAATCATTGAGGCGCTGTTCCGCAGAGATAATGGGGGGTTTAGAGGAGGATTAGTCCCCGACGCTGACTTGTATAATCCCACCGGCAATCCATCAAAGTCACTATCATCCCACAGACTAGCTGTACGGGAGCTGGAACGAAGACGTCACCGAAAACAGTTTCAGTAAATGATTCATACGCTGAAATCGTGCAAAGATCGCCAAAGAAATTTACAAAAGAACACTTATGTTCAACATCGTGATTGTTTCGTTTCTAGTTTTTGAAAACAGTCCACACGACTTTTTGAAAACAGAAGATTATGATGACAAGCATGAACGGACTTCTTTGAAGTTTCACTTCAAGAAAGGGAATAAAAACGATGATGACGCTGTCTTATAGCTGCATCTTTATCATATGACAGAGAAAACTTTCTCATGTATCATGTACAAGAAAAAAATAGAATTCATACACCTTTCTACACTCAACAACAGCCCAATACATGTAATGCATCAAAGCAAAGTACAAAGGCAACACTGTGATAAAATCTGTATCAATGCTAAAGCTCTTGATATTTTACCAAACTTTAGCGTATCCCGGGTTCCCGTTTTGCCACTACCCTGCACCAAAGTTGCAGATAAAGCCTGGAGGTGCCGTGAATGAAGATCGATGACCAGGTCTTAATCATCCGATGTCAGTGTCATGTTACATAAGTAATGAAGTTGGTAAACCATTCACTTCAGTGCGCTGCCGCTTGTTACAGCGGCCCAGTGTGTTGTGGCAAGGTCTGCGGATGAATAATCGTCAGGTTCCACCTCTCCTACACGTCAGTTCAGGTTGTCTTACTTTGTTATCCTTTCCGGTTTGTGTACAGATACAAATGAGGATTGTGTTTAATCCTCTACTCTTACATGTCTTAATGACTGCCTCTGCGAACCGGGATTAGTTCGTACATTTTGCATTACTAGCAGTTATCTAGTTATACCGAAAACTTCACGAGCTGAAGCCGTCTACTAAATCTTTTATTCGCCTTTGTCGCGGCGAGGCCGGCAGGTGGATCGGTTTAAACGTTGGCCCTGAGTAATAGGCATATTTCGTGGAGCTCATCCGGTGAATTATTTTCCGTTTGAAACGCGCTGCGAGGCCCCAGGTGCGCCATAAAATATTGAAATCATAGCCGCTCTGATAGCAGGAATGAAAATGTTATCGTGTGCTGCTGCTGCCTATTTTCACAACTCTTACCATAACTCATCCTCAAAAGGCAGAAGATATTTAAGCCTCAGTTGGGTGCGTTCTGCGCCGCCATGGCATACATGTGTAGGTGTCCGTTTTTTTGTGAGGGTGGGTCACATTTGAAGATTTACCCATTGTAGGTGACTCGTATTTGGTGGCATTATATAACAACTTTCCATGAATACAGTTTT